ATTCCCACCCACCCACTGTTCCAGGCCATCCCTCTGAGATTCTGCAGTTTGGTCCATGCTTCTATGTATCTTGATCTATTTTGTCTATAGGTTTTTTTTGTTAATTATATTCCACATATGAGTGAGATCATGTGATACTTACTTCACTTGACTGACTTATTTCACTTAATATGATACTCTCCAGGTTACTCCATGCTGTCTCAAAGGGTAAGAGATTCTTCTTTTTTATTGCTGCATAGTATAAATGTACCACAGCCTTTTTAATTATGATGTTGAAAGTGTTACATATATCCCCCTATTTGCCCCATTGCTCTCTCCCCCGCAAGCCTTCAGCAACCACTGTCTGTATCCTTGGGTTATGTATATGAGTTCCTTGTTTGATCTCTTCCCCTACTCCACCCTCCCCTGCCTTCCCTCTGAGGTTTGACAGTCCCTTCAATGTTAATATGTCTCTGGGTCTGTTTTTGTTCATCAGTTTATTTTGATCATTAGATTCCACATATGAGTGAGATCATGTGATACTTAGCTTCCTCTGACTGGCTTATTTCACTTAGCATAATGCTTTCTAGGTCCATCCATGCTGTTGCAAATGGTAGGAGTTCTTTCTTTTTTACAGTTGCATAATATTCCATTGTATAGATGTACCATGGTTTTTTGTGAGGATATTTTTTTTAAAAAGTGTGTTTATAAGTTTCATAATTTTAATAGTATTTAAATGCTTTATATTATTTCCTATAAAATAATAGGAAGATTCTTGAGTAATTCCATCTATTTTATAATTAAATACCTATCATTAAAAATAATATTTATCTAAGAATGTAGTTTTCTGTTTATTGGCTGTTATCCAAAGAGATTAGAAACTGCTTTTACCATAATGCTTTTAAAAATAGTTGTTTATTAAATACATGTCTAGTCTAATGGCCTTTTAATTAGATAATGATGCAGAGATTTTACCTTATGAAAAAAGGACCTTGGCTTCAGAAATAATTTTGATGTATGCTCCATATGTCTTTGATAAAATAATTTAATATTGTGTCTATTTTTTCCCCATGGAGGAAAAAGAATCTAAAGCCCTGAAATGTTATATATGTTGGGTTCTGAATCATGACAACCAAAAGCAAGAGAGGTTGGGTCTAGAATTTCCTTGTCTTGCCACATATTTTTCATTTTCTAACAAATGCCTTTTTTCATGAGCTAAGACTGAGGATAGTTATGAGTGCAAGGCATTCTGTTCCCAAATTCATACTTATTATTTTGGTTAATAAATTAGAGTCTAGACGAAAATCCACATATAAAATAAAAGTAGAAGGAAGATAGTCAATTACACTAGATAATAGATTAAATATACAGTGCCTACCACCCTCCCAAATAAAAGATGTTTGTGAGAGTTTCACATTCTTCTTTTTTAAAATATATGTTTTATTGATTTCAAAGAGGAAGGGAGAGGGGGAGAGAGATAGAAACATCAAGAGAGAATCATTGATTGGCTGCTTCCTGCACTCCTCACATTGGGGATCGAGCCCACAACCTGGGCATGTGCCCTGACTGGGAATCGAACCTTGACTTCCTGGTTCATAGGTCGATGCTCAACCACTGAGCAATGCCAACAGAGAGTTTCACATTCTTACTGTTTCCTATAAATTTCTAGTGATTTGAAAATGAACCTAGATTGAGATGTAAAGTTTCAATTTCCAAGAAGGTGAGTAAGGTACACAGCAGGAAATGCCAATATCATCTTAATAGACATATCTTGTAAAGGTGAATTTCATTGAGGTTGCACAGATTTCTGAATAGTATTGTCACACATTTTAAGTAGGTCAGTATTACCGCTCATACCTAATTTTATTGCTTTAGTGCTATATTTTTATGATTATCTTATACATGCTTCACTAAAATATACTAAACTTTTCCAATGATTTGATATTTTTCTAATTCTTATTTTGCTTGAGAATTAACTTGTATCCCTATTTAACTGTTTTAAAACCTATTTCCTTTTTCCAGCTTACACTCTGCATCATCCTTCTTTAGAACCCAAGGCACTTTTCTGGAACATTCAGTTTTTCCTAACATTTTGGGTACTATTTTTTTCCATATTTGATTATTATGAAACTCAAAAACAGATTTAATCTCTTATGTTTGTATATGACCAGAACATGTACAGAGCTGGGCAAAGTATAGACTTAGAAATTTTTTGGAAGGAAGAAAGGAAATTGTACCTCTAAATCTGAGTGAAACTTCAGTTCCTCATCCTAATATATAAAAAGCCAGGGGCCATCACGACCGAAACTACCAGACAAATGACCAGACAGCAGGCTGTGTGGGGCAACCAAGCCTGCAAGGGGTTAGTGAGGAACAACCAAACGACTTAACAGCAGGCTGCGTGGGGTGACCAGGCAGCATCAGGGAGCACTTGGGGGCTACCAGGTCGGCAGGGGGGCAATTGGGATGACCAGGCCGGAAGGGGGGCAGTTAGGGATGACCAGGCTGCCGGGGGGGGGCAGTTGGGGGCGACCAGGCCAGCAGGGGGGACAGTTTGGAGCGACCAGGACAATAGGGGGCAAAGAGGGGTGATCAGGCCAGTGGGCAGAGGCAGTTAGGTGTGATCAAGCTGGCAGAGGGGGCAGTTAGGGGCGATAAGGCAGGCAGGCAGACATCCCCTGAGGGGTCCTGGGGTAGATGAGCAGTTAGGGTGATCAGGCAGGCAGACAGAAGCATCAGGGAGCACTTGGGGGCTACCAGGTCGGCAGGGGGGCAATTGGGATGACCAGGCCGGAAGGGGGGCAGTTAGGGATGAACCAGGCTGGCAGAGGGGCAGTTAGGGGGTGACCAGGCTAGGAGGGGACCAGTTAGGGGGTGATCAGGCAGGCAAGCAGAGGCAGTTAGAGACAATCAGGCAGGCAGGCAGGCAAGCAATTAGGAGCCAGCAGTCCCAGATTGTGAGAGAGATGTCCCAGATTGGAGAGGGTGCAGGCTGGGCTGAGGGACCATCCCCTGAGGGGTCCTGGATTGGAGAGGGGGCAGGCTCTGCTGAGGGGACCCCAACCCGTGTACGAATTTCATGCACTAGGCCTGTAGTATTTTTATAATAATACTAGTGGCCCAGTGCACAAATTTGTGAACATTGAAATTAATTAGAAGAAATATTTTAATATCACTATTTGCCCTTTCTCTATAATGGAAGTGTCAACTAAATTCACAGTTGACGATGACAGATCAAAACACACGTGTGTGATTGGTGCCAGTGAGAGCTTTATATGTATCGTGCATGCAGAAGTCAACTTAGCCTTTTATACATATAGAATAAACTTGCTTAATTGGACCTGCTTTCTTATTTAGCTAAACTTTTTCCAGACGAATGAAGAACCCCAACAGTGAGAAAACCTGAAGTCATTTTCAAGGTCCACCATTTCTTTTTTTCACTTGGGTGAAGTTTCTAAGTTTTCTAAATCTCTGTTTTCCAGCTAATGAAGAGAAAATAGGATTCTCCCGAGTTTCCTATCTACCTACTTACGTCAGGATCGAATGAGATGAGGCACAGGAAAATGCTTCACAGACATTTGGTTAAAGTGTGAAGTATTTCCACCTGTGTTCCTGGGCTGAAGAAACTGCAAGGAGGCTAGTCATTGCTAGGGAGAGGAAGCTGGGCATTGCTATGTGATGTCATTATCCTGCACCCACAGCCACCGTTTCAGGGCTGGGCTGGGTTGTGGGCTACATTTTGTACCATGGGGTCTAGACAGTGTCGGCTACAATTTGGTGGGCTGTCACTCAGGGGTGGTGGCAGGCCCCGTGTCCCACTTGTGGAAAGCCGAGTGTTGCTTTGTGGGCACCAGGTCCATGGTGCCGTTTCTCTGTGCATCACGGCAGCTCCTGTGTTGCGAGTCTGCCCCCTCGTGGTCAGTGCGCATCATAGCGACCCATCGGTCGGAGGGAAGGGCACTTAGCATATTAGCCTTTTATATATATAGATACTGTAGCCAAGCTGGTGAGTCTCAGTGGTTGAGCATCAGCCTATGAACCTGGAAGTCACAATTTGATTCCCAGTCAGGGAACATGCCTGGACTGTAGGCTCGATCCCCAGTGTGTGGCATGCAGCAGGCAGCCAAACTGGTTCTCTCTCATCAATGATTTTCCTATCTTTCCCTCTCCCTTCTTCTCTGAAATCAATAGAAATATATTTTAAAAAATAATATACTGTATAATATATTTTTAAAAATCAGATGCTCAGACCAAGCACAAACCTGTGCACACACTAAAATGTGCAAATATCTATATAATGACTTTGGGTGGGAGTTTTAGTTTACTCAGAGAAATAACCTACATAAAGGTTATTTCTTTATAACCTTTGAGTTATAACCTTTGATTCTCCCCCCTTGAGCAGTTTTACAGATAGAAAACTTAGTATTAATACGTTGCCAGTCAAACTTATGGAAAATAAGCAATACCTTTTGAACATGGCACAATAAGGTGTGAGCTATGGTATGGATGCCTGAGATTTGCAGGAAAAAGGTGATATTTTGCAAAAATATACTGCCCATCATTGTCCCCATATACCTATTAGCTGCAATATTAGATATTAGTATAAAATCCTTCATGGAGCTTTAGAAAATCTTGCTATCTGAGCCTCAGAATTGAAAATTAAAGGGTTGGGGTAGAGGCCTTTTTTCAGAGTTGTTGATCAAGTAGCAAGAACTTTGAAAGTAAATATTTCCTCCCTACCCCTTTTTGGTTTTATTTAAGGATTCATTGAGCTTCAAAATACTTTCTCTCAAGAATTTTTAAATTGCATTCCATTACATCTGGAGGCAAAATAATTTAATGCAGCATTTTCTGAAATGAACTCCTTGAATTGGTGGTGTTCTCTGACAATGTTAATAAATTTATATGATGCGTCAGTGTTAAAGACATTTAATATTATTTCTTTCAAAATATAATAAAAACTGCATGTGAGAAAATCACCAAGTAAATTTAAATAAGCCTGACTCTCATATAAAACTTTTTCTTTAGAAATAGAATT